ACGATATTATCTAAAATTTGAAAATATATAAATATCAAAATAAAAATTTTGAAAATATGGTCTACCTAGAATTTTAAGAATAATCTTCAATATGAATCAAGCACCACAATGGATGATAAACAATTGTGACTTTATGTTTGTAAGAAATATGAAAAATTAAAAAATGAGAGTAATAGTTTTCACAATAATTGTATAATATGGAAGAGAAAAGAAAATTTTAATTATACTTAAAAAAATTCTCCCATCTAGTTTTGAAGAGAAACAAATAAAATTAATAAAAAATTTCATTGATATGGAAAATCAAAAAAGAGATTTGATGAATTGATGGTGGAAATTTGGAAAGACGAAAATTAAAGAACTTCAATTAGATATTTTTTGAATTTTGAAAAAAAATATTGAATTAGAATTTTGTGGGAAGTTGAATAATTTGGAAATATCAAAATTAAATAAATTCATTGATAATAATTGACACTTCAATAAATTGATGGGCTCTATTATTTTGTTTTACATTTTATTTAAATCTATTATAAAAAAAATATTATATTACTATTTTTTAATTTGTGAGTTTTGGACGGATGCCCCTCTTACCTGACCTAGGGCCAGCCCTGCGAAGAGGTCCATAAAATTTTAATATTTTCTTAATAAAATTAATTTATTTAGTGGTATATTTTAATGTATTACATCAATAATATATTTCGATTTACTGGGTTCATTCTAAAATTTTCTCATTTTAATATGTTTTTTTTCAACAAACTGTGGCTCTCTTTATTTTGCTTACACTTGTCTATAGCCGAGTCGAGGTTTAATTTAAAGTTCAAGCCTAAATTTTTAGTTTTTTTATTCTAATATTATGTTTGTTCTTTTTTTCTTTAAAGGAAAAAAAAAACTAAACTGTTTGTCAAATGAGCTTATCATTATTTTTGGTTAGTTTAAATAGCACGTGTTAGGTTTAATTTGGAACATGCATAGGATTGTAGTATGGTTAGTTAATTAGTTAGTTGATAACATGTTCCTCTGTTATTTTGGTTAATTTAAAAAGCATGTGTTAGGTTTTTTCGGTGCCATAGCAAGAGGCGTGCCGACCTAAGGGCCACAAATTAAAAAATATAACATTTTTATAATAAATTTTTAAAAAATAAAATAATAGGTCCATACATTTAATAAAATGTTAATTGTCATTATTGAATTTTTATATTAATGTTAATAAATTGTTCCACTTATCAACGAGGATTGGTTCAAGTAGTAAGCAACTTGATATCACTTAAGTAAGGTATCATGTTTGAGTATTTGTATATGCAGAAAATCTCCGCCGGGAAACTCACACACCAAAATTAGGTGTGCGACCCGGATCTGTACAGATTAGTCAAAGTGAAGCCTTTAAACTAGAGGGCAATCAAAAATAATAAATTGTTCAACTTCCCTCAAAACTCTAATTCAATATTTTTTCTTAGAATTTAAAAAAAAAATCAATTGAATCTATTTAATTTTAGTCTTTCTAAATTTTCACCATCAATTGACCGAATTTCTTTCCCGATTTTTCATATCAAATAAATTTTTTATTAACATTATTTTTTTCTCTTCAAAACTCGAAGGGAGGAGAAAATTTAAATATAATTAGTATGTTTATTTTTTCTTCCATATTTTACAATTCCTTTGAAAATTATTACTCTCACATTTTAATTTCTCTCAAACACAAAGTCATAATTGTTTATCATCAATTGTGATGTTTGAACCATATTGAAGATTGTTCTTAAAATTCTATGTAAGATAATATTTCCTAATTCTTTCTTTTTATTTTTATATATTTCTAAATTCTGATTGTTCTTTCATGTCCAAATGATACATTATGTATTGAGAAAAATATGTTGAAAAGCATTAATGTTGACACTATAATCAATGATTTTACATTAAAAAATGCTACAATGTAAAGCTTTTTAATAAGTATTTGTTTACTTAATTATATTTTGACATTTTTGATATTATAATGAATTATTATATATTTAATTTAATAAAAAATTATAATAGAAATTGTATATTACATATATTTTAAATTTCATTTAAATTAAGAACTATATTTTTTGATTTCGCCCCAAATAAAAAAATACTCAGTAAAGGCCCTAAGTTTTATTTGTTACAAATTATTGTAATGTATTTTAGTAGATGAGTTAAGTATTATTTAATATCAATTTATATCATTTTTATGACATCTAAAAAATTACAAATTTAAATATTAATTAAGATTAATTTAAGATATATAATTTATATCACATATAGATATATAATTAATGCCTTTTTAGTAATTTCAATGATTTCTACTTTTTATACGTTTCTGTCATTAGAATTTATGAAGGCTTAGAATTAGGGTAGCGGATTAGTATTGTCTTAGTTTAGGTTTTAACACATTTGACTTTATTCTTTCTCGTAGCTTGCTATTGTTGACTTCTATGTATCATTCTCTTCATGTTTCCTCTTTTAAATTTAGTCAGGTCTTACGTTTCTGTTTATATGTAGAGATTTTTAGGCATGAATTTATTTGCAGAGATATCTTCCCATTACAGACGCGCATATAAAGACTGCCTATGAATAATGTTCAACTATGTATTTATCTATTTATTTATACATGAATTGCATTTTATCTTTATTTTTAATTTTCTGAGTGTCGAAGATCTTCCACAAAAACTGTTCTCATCCTGGCGTTAGGGGTAGCCTACTATCCTACCTCTCCTTCCCCTGTTATATATGAAAATAGGGATTTATTGTTGTTGTTGTATAGATATATAATTAATGTTTATATGAAGTTAGGAACGATGACAAGATCAGCTCATATCAAAGTGCTCACTGCAAGTATCTCAACTTCTGGAATATGAATTTGTCCAGGTGGGCCCCATCCAGCTATTTTTTTCATTTTCTTTTTTTGATTAATTACGTCTCATTTTAATCTCACGCGCATCGTTACCTAACAGGTATAACTGGAATAATTTTAAACCGTCGGATTTCTGTTTCCGATTTTTTTTTATAAATATAAGATGCATATAAGATATAATATATGTTTTATTAAAATACTCTCAATCATTATATAATAAATTCTCATATATTTAATATAATAATGTATGTAAAGTTTAAACTTAAAAGATAATAATAAATCTCTTACTCATTAACCTAACTTAATTCTAGATCCTAAATAAACTTATTGATTTATCGGCATGGATCCGGCTCAAAAATGACGCTACGTGGCACCTACACTCAACGGAGAACAAAATATTTATATGATTTGAATTAATAAATTATATTAATAGACTAAGAAGGACAAATATATTCGAGCAGCAAATGGAAGGAGGCCCATATGCAGATTTGGTGTTTATATTGATTAACCTATTTAAAAGTAATTCATTATTTATAGAGGAATTTGATACACCCATTGCATAAAACACAGAAATTTGAGATTTCCTTTTCTTTTTTCACTAATTACTTTTCATTATGATAAAAAAAACAATAAATACTTCCAACGGACACCTATTTTTTAATTTCTCATTTAGTAATCCTAGTATCCTACCCGCCTTATCACTTATCAGTCCTCTTCGCATCTCTCTCTCTCTCTCTCTCTCTCTCCCTGCCTCCAAATCAATACACCTCCCCCCCCCCCCCCTGTTAAAGCTTTATTTGCATTCACTGTAATCAAATCACGAAGCTGAGACATTAACATGTTCTTTTCTTGTTTCTTTTTTACACTTTCACTGTGAAGATTTGGCCTTTTAGATTCTCTAAATCTTGGGTGATTGGTTTCCAGTGAACTCTTTTACTAAAAGCTGCAAATGAAAAACACCCTTTTGTTTAGGCACTTGATTTTCTTGCTCATTATTGGATTTTGTTGTTTGAGCACATTTCCGGTTCTGGCTCAAAATGGACCTCTCACTGATCATGTCAACCTTATTTCTGGTTGGTGTTTTAGATTTATGTTTTGATTTCTAGTATAATGTGACGTTCTTGGTTAAATTTTTATTGCTTTTATATTTGGTTCTAAATGTTTCCCTTCTAGTAGATGTGGTGTTCATATTATGTTTGGTGCTGAGAAGAGAAAAGAAAAGAATGCGGGAGAAAAATGGCATTTTGAGTACCGGGATTATGCTCTGTTATTTTTTTTTTTTGGTGGAGGGGTTGGGGGGGAATGTACATAATTTTGCTGAATTATAAGACGAATTCAAGTTCTGGGTTGATATCATTGCTGGTTTTGAAAGATCCGATCTTTATTTTCTATCTTGCTGTTTTTGTTATTAAAACTACTGAAAGTGTTTTATTCCTATTAGTTGTTTCAAATTGTATCACTTTTAGTGTATGTTTGTTGTGAATGCAGGAGGTATTAATTTAGGTCCATGGAAGAATGAGATATCTGAGCTGCCACAAGCACCGGCGCCAACAATTGACGAGTCTCCGACCACACTGGTGTTGGCAGCCCAAAGGACGGATAGGCCGGACATTCTTCGTCATTTCAAGCATTATCACGGTGGGTGGAATATTACCAACCGCCATTACTGGGTGGTAAAGTCTTTGGTCTGCCTTGCTCTCTTGTTAGTCTTTTGATTGATCTGTTGTATCTAATTACTTTATATATCATTCATTCTTGGTATATTGGACCGTATATATATCAGACTTGAGTTTACAAATCTGTTCCTTTATGCTGAAGTTAGATTAGAATCTATCTCATTTGATTTTTGGTCGTGGTGGTCGATGAGAAAGTTGATATATTCAAACAAAACGAGAACAGAGAAATAAATATTTTCAATGATAAGAAACTAGGCTCCGGTGCAAACAAGGATTTCATTACACTTGCATCTGAATTCTGAATACACTATTACACTAAAACGTTTCAGCGTTGACCTTGTTTATAAAGATCAAATCCTGCATTGCTAATAAGTATATCGGATATTTCTGATCAGCGATTTGAATGTTTTTGTCTGCAGTCTGTTGGATTTACAGGTGCTGCTGGATTTGCCTTCGCTGCCATGTGGCTAGTTTCTTTTGGCTTGGTTCTTTTGGTATATCATTGTTGCAGATGGAGAGTAATCATCCGAGGAAAAAGAAAGGATCATTCTCAAACGCTTTGTCTTATACTTCTCATATTATTCACAAGTGCTGCAGCGTAATAACCCAAACTTCGAATTTCGATGTCTAATATTTTGTATCAATCTCATTCATAAATTTTTATCTTGTATTTATTTATGCTTCTTCTAGTAGATGTATGCTTTTTCTATGCTCATGTTCTTTCTTGAAACATAATATTTGGCCTGTTTTCTATAGTTTTCTTTTATCTAAAATATAAATCGTTTCCCAAACAGGATTGGGTGTATTCTTCTTTCGGTTGGGCAAGATGAGTTTCATGGTGAAGCGTTGCATACATTGAAATATGTGGTAAACCAATCAGACTACACAGTGCAAATCCTAAATAATGTTACACAGTACCTTTCTCTTGCAAAAACCATCAATGTGGCCGATGTTTTCCTTCCTTCCGATGTCTTATCCGGAATCGACAAGTTGAACATAGATCTGAATTCGGCAGCAGATACACTTACAGCTAAGACCGATGAAAACGCCGGCAAAATAAGAAGAGTCTTCAATGCTGTGTATGGTCGCCTAAACCCATCTGATGTTGCCTCCTTGATTTGGAATCAGCATGGATATCAATGTATTAATGCTTAGTAAGCCAATTTCGGATTTGTTTTCAGGCGATTAGCACTGATCACCGTGGCCACAGTGATGCTAATTTTGGCTCTGCTGGGTCTTTGTACGTATCACCGACTTGTATCTTTTATGTTTCTTGAGCATTTTCATATCTCTCAACTCTAAAATTTGTACATCTTTTTTATTTTTGCAGTGTTGTCCATTCTAGGCCATCAACATGCTATCCACATGTAAGTTCTTTCAGGACTGGTCTAATGTTATCCATTTTCCATGTATACTCTTCATGTCATGAAATGATCATTAAAGAAGGTAACTAATTTCATTAAAAATTGGTTCTTGAACTACTTTTGGAATCCCTCGTTTTCGAATTTTCAAATTAGTCATTTACCTCATTGATCAAATTTAGAATATAAACAAAAATGGAAAATCAGAAACATGTTATGAAGTTAAATGGCCATTGGTCTGTGAACTCTTGTCTTATACAAGTTTACATCTCTTTGACACTACCTGACTAATTCTTGCAGATTCATAGTTAGCGGATGGTTCCTGGTAGCTATTACATTCATCCTTTGTGGTGTTTTCGTGATCATGAACAAGTAAGATGTGTTTTTGGTTTAGAAATTCTAAATTTTCCTACATGCTTGGTTGCTATAAGGAACCTAAAATCTGTATTGGTACCATTTTTCATTAGATAATCGAGGTTGCTCGCTGAAACAATATTTGAAATTGTATCCATTTTGCAGCTTTAGTTTGTTGATCAGATTGATCCTGTGTCATTTCTATTTATTTGTTCTTTTTTTTCCCTCTATACCATATATGATTATTTGGCTGCTGTTCTTTGTTGGAAAAATGCTTTAAAACAAACCCAACATGGAGGTGGCTACGGAAAAATGCCCGTACTGATGTCATTAACGGACGTATGAATTGTTTTGTGTGGTTCAGTGCAATTTCGGACGCTTGCTTGGCGATGGAAGAATGGGTGGAACATCCACATGCCAAGACTGCTCTTAGCAACGTACTTCCTTGTGTTGATCAGAGAACAACAAACAATACACTCAGTCAAAGCAAACGTGTCATCAGTAGTATAGTAGATGTTGTCAATACATATATTTACACCTTTGCCAATTCGGATCCTTCCCCAGATGACGTTCGTTATTACAATCAGTCTGGACCTTCAATGCCTCCTCTATGCTCTCCATTTGATTCTCAGCTCCAAAATCGTCAGTGTCTGTCAAATGAGGTGTCTATGGCAAATGCTTCTCTGGTAAGTTTATCAAATTCAATAATTTGGTTTGGAATTTTTATTCCAGGATCTATCAAATTCAACTTTGTATGTTTTCAGGTCTGGCAAAACTTCACCTGCATGGCATCAGCATCTGGGCTATGCAACACCACGGGAAGGATAACTCCTGACAGATTCACACAGCTGGTGACAGCGGTTAACGAGAGCCAAGCTCTCAAGCACTACACACCACTCTTACTTTGCCTGCAAAATTGCGATTTCGTTAGGGATACATTTCAAAACATTGCCTCGAATTACTGTCATCCATTGGAGCATTACCTTAAGATAGTAAATGCAGGACTGGGGTTAATCTCGGTCGGAGTCTTGCTATGTTTAGTTCTCTGGATATTCTATGCCGATCACCCCCTAAGGGAAGAGGTGTCTGTGAAGCGTTGTTGCCGATAAAATGTATGACCTGGAAAAACATCTGCAGATCAAACACCACCACCACCACATTGTCAGGTACAACAAATGGTGTCTAAATTATAGCAAGAAATTATTAGGTTGAGTGTCTTTCATTTTTTCTTGTGATCCCATATTGGGAAAGGAACTAAGGTGGGGCAAAGCTCCATTTTGAGTTAGGTGGGTAATCTCTATTTATTTCATGGTCATGTTATATATGTAATAGTAAATATAATTCGATTGCTGGTGTCTCCTGGTCTAATTCCCTTTTTTGCTGGAGATATGATTTTTCTAAAACTATGATAAATTTAAAGAGAATCACTGGCCTTTACCATGTATGCTCCTCAATTTAATACAAGGCTGTCGTGCTAAAGGACAGTCAGTGATGGAAGGAAGTTCTAAAGGTTAAGACTTCTTCTCTTCCAGAGACAAAAGCCACTAGAGTGGCTTTTGAGATCAATAAGTATCGTTATATTACGTTGCGATGGCAATTTAAGATTGAATTTGATAAATGCTGATCTTATCGGTCGTTTGTGTTTTCGATGTTGTTATCTCTAGACATCTAAACATTTGAGTCTGCAATCCTTTGTCGATATTTTCAAAAGAAGATTTAAAGAGAACAACAGATGTGATTCCCACAAACGAGATAGCCGGCTCAAGAACAAGTAGATTTGTATCTGTCATGGAAATTTGCCACAAAGGATAAGAAGATTGAAAGTTAATGTAACAATGAATAAAGGGATCGGTTAGTGAAATCAGAAGCCTGCATCATCAAAATAAAACAAATAAGCAGCATTGTATGTTTTTTTTGTGAGTGTAGTTTGTAATGTTCGGAGTTGATAGCTTGATAATGAAACAGGTTCTTCATCAGGTGGGCATTGTTGTTTTTGCTGCTAACATATCATTGTTGCAGGTTCCTACTTGCTATCAGGTGATTTACTTGGACAAATGAAATTCTTATTTTTCCCCAAAAAATTTGATAAGTTAAAAATGTTATTTGAGAAGTGTTTATCTCGTTGCTCTAAGTTTATTACAGCTACTGATCTCTTGTCTCCTTTCAAAATTCGTACACATTAATATGTTAAAATTTTAACCAGCAACACCAGTGGTCTAGTGGTACAATAGTATCCTGCCACGGTACATACTTGGGTTTGATTCCCGGCTGGTGCATTATTTTTTCTTCTCAGCCGTAAGCTCTTTCTAACTTTTGTTTACTTGACTATCAATAAGCCGACCAGTCTGAGTTAAATTCATCTTCTTCTGCTTTTCCCTTTAATTCTTCAATCTCTTTTGGTTTTGTTTGGATATTCAGAAGCCTAAAACCTTTTCCAATTGACTCTGATTTTGACTCATTTCACTTTCGATTTCTGATTTTTTTTTCTAACTTTGTTTATAGTTTCCGTGAAATTAAATCTGGGTTTATTTTAATTTTAGGGGTTATTAAGTTAGCTAACCCCATTTCCTTGAATTTAAACCTAAACTGTATATTTAGAATCATCTTTTACCTTTACCTTTTGGTATTTAGAGGCCCTTTAATTACCAAAGACAAATTTGACCTAAAGAAGGGTTGGTTTATTGTGATCTATGGTATGAAACTTGTTTTAGTTAGATGAGGAAATTATAACTAAAACAAAAGTGCTAAACCTGCTTCTTGGAAACTATGAAACTAGGCATCATCTGGGAAAATATTGTTGCATGTAACAATACCCGTTTACATGATACATGGATGATCCTCTCCTAGTTGCTTAAAATGTTAGCTTCTTGAATATATCTAGAATTGTTCCCTATTTTCTGTTCAGCTGATGATTTGCATACCGTTGAATTTCGGACTAAGATACATGATTTCCTATAAAGAAATCAAATTAAATTATTATTTATCGAAACAACTATTTTATTAAAAATAAGAAATATACAAAATTACAGTGAAGATTTGCAACATAACTGTAAACTAAACACATAACGAGAATATTTTCGAATAACCTTTAACACAAGAAACTAACTATTAAGATCACACAATGACCATACAAGAAAAATGTTAAAAAATATATTCAAATAAACTCGAACAAAAGATAGATACAAAAATGTGTGACCGCGTGACCAAACAGAGATTAAGTTATTAAAAGACCATCGATAAATCACTAATCAGAGTCAAGCAAGTATGAAAAATATCCTCGAATGTAAATCGTATATCCAAATATAATCCGAGATCCAATGTAAAAAAGATTAACATCATAACAAATAAATATCATCTTGATCAGTTGTGTTGATGTCAAATTAGACCCTAAGAAAAAGGATAAATGAAAACAACGATCAAACGACTGAAAACGTGTCGAAACATAAGAAAATATACCATAAACACAGAAATATATCACATAGACAAGAATTATTAAAAGCTAAAAAATTAAAAAAAATCAAAATCAAAGATACGATATAAGAAAATAAAAGGAAAATAAGAAATGACGACGTCAGTAATAATTTCAAGAATGGTGTCATCATTATCAACAAAAAAATAAAGAAAGGTTAAATGACTATTAGGGATTAAAAAAAGATTATTTTGAATTAAATTATTTTAAAAATTATAAAATTCTTTTAAAATATATTCAATTTATATTAGTATAATAATAATAATAATAATAATAATTAAAGAAAAATGTGATTGAATTATGATCAATAATAGATATTAGTGTCACTTAACTATTAAAATGATCGGATTAATAATCGAATTTTTTTTGAAATAGTATAAAATTACTATAGATTTTGACGTTACATTGTATATTTATATTTAATATTATTAATAGTATATACTCAATATATAAGGTGATGAATCGATGCTACATCAATAAGGGTTGAGTGAATTTAATCAAGTCCAAGTCGATTCTCTAACAAACATTATCCATGAAGCTTAATAATTCTATTTGGTATATTTGTATTTGAAACATACATATATAGATAAATGAAAAGGTTATAAAATAAAAAATAAAAGTAAAACCCCATGCTTTATCACGTGATACCATGGTTTGCCATCTCTCTTATAGGTCAAAGTCTAGTTTTGTCATTTTCAATCTTCATCCCAGTCTTAGACGCCTTCAATTCAATTCAAAGTTCAAGTTTAGGTCTAAGTTCTAAGTTCCAAGTTGAATTTGTAGTCCTTTGGTTGTTGATTGATGTTGGCTATGAATGAGAAAATCGAATTTAAGCTATTAAATTATTTTAATATAAATATAGTTCTATTTTCATCTTTAACGTCTACCCTTAGAAATATTAGATTTCAGCACATCATATTTTAAGAGTATTTGAATGTTTATAAGAATCTTTTAAAATGAAATTATCTTCTAATCACATTTAGACTAATACAAAATTTATAATATAAACTATGATCAAAATTTATTATTATTTCCCATAAAATATATTTAAGAAATGATTATATTCTTAACAAAAATAATAAACATCACCTAAATATTTAAAATAAATCATAACTAAATAACTAGTTTGTTAATGTATAAATAAACTAACATGAACATTTATTTAAAATAATAAAATTTAGAATTTAAAGATGAACTATTACTTTTAAGAGAAAATCGCCTCAATGACCAAAAATGCCTTATAATATACGATTTTAACCAACTTTTTTTGGATTTGCCAAAATGACCAACAAAATCGCAATGCGAAATAAAAATCGCAACGCGATCTCCAGAATCGCAAATCAGTTCCCAGAATCGCAACGCGATTATGAAGAATCGCAATGCGATAGTACAAATTCGCATTGCGATTTTACATAATCGCAACGCGAATATGAAAATCGCAACGCGAACATATAAATCGCAACGCGATTCTGACTATCGCAACGAGTATCCGTAAAATCGCAACGCGTATCCTTAAATCGCAACGACAATACGTAAAATCACAACGCGTATCCGTAAATCGCAACGAGAATACGTAAATCGCAACGCGTATCTGTAAATCGCAATGAGAATACGTAAATCGCAATGCGTATCCGTAAATCGCAATGCGAATACGTAAATCGCAATGCGAATACGTAAATCGCAATGCGAATCTGTAAATCGCAACGAGATTCTGACTATCGCAATACTGAATTTCAAATTCGCAACTCGATTTCTGAATTCGCAACAGGTTTTAATTTCGCAACACAAATGTTTTGGGTATATAACTACGCAGCAGCACCAACTCATAACCTAAATCCCTAAATCGCAACCCATTCCATCTCCATCTATCACTCTCTCCGGCGACATCCGTTCCTATATCCAACGACATCCTTCCCCATCCGACAACAGGTTTTAGTTTCGCAGCTCGTTTGTTTAGTAAATTAATTTACAATAATGAAATCATCTAATGTTGATCATGTTTGGATAGATTTGTGTTTTGGAGGGTCATGGGAGAATGTTCATGGTGTTTTACAATATATGCCTTTACCCATGAATCTTCAACTAAAACTGTCATTAAAAAAGTTAACTTATGAAACTCTAATGTTACGTGTTGCAAATAAATTGAATTTAGAGCCCCTAAGTGGATTTAGGCTATCGTATCAGAGAAATGGTAAAGTTTATTTGTTAACCGACAATGAAGATATTGAACGATTCATTACTTACATTAGTGTTTCAAGTGATGATGTTACATTATATGTTGTTAAACCTAGAAGTAGTGAAGTTGGGTCAGTAGCGGGTAGTAATCAACTAAGTTCTTCAACCCAAAATTTAATGGTTCCACCACAATTTCATCACCAAGCAAATTTTGTTTCACCACATTTCCAATACCAAACACAATATCAAACACAATCTCAAAACCTACAACCTTTTCCTAATCCAAATCCCAATCAACTTTCAGCACCAAATTCCGGTTTTCGTATTGACCAGTTAGACGATTATGAGCCAACAGAAAAAATTGTGAGTACTAGTCAGTATTCAAAATTTGATCTAGGTCAATACCCGGACTTTGATCTTGGTCAATACTCGGATTTTGATGATTTTTCAGAAGAAGAAACAGACCCTGCGTGTAATGATTTTGATATTGGTCAATACCCGAATTTTGATGATGAAACAGCTGTTGCCGAGGAAGATGTTGTTGATGATAATGAGGAGGAAGTTACGACTGTAAATGAACATGTTGAACATCCATTATGTAATTCATATAACACTGAAGAAGAAAAAGAAGAAGAAGAAATCCCCAAAGAAAAGTCCCCGAAGAAAATACCACGGGAGTATAACTGGAATATGCCAGAATTAC